GCTTCTGATTTGTCCTACCAAGCAATTATTATATAGGGTATGGCTGAGTGTCCTCAGAAAACCAGGGGTGCCATGCCCCCCTGCCTTGGGGTAACCGTACTGGGCCATGACGTTTGCTCTGCCCCCTTGCAGGCTCTGATAAACTTTAACAAGCCGCCTGTTTTCCTGCAGCCCTTGCCCTTTCTCGCTTAGTTGTGAAGCAAGCCTGTTTTCCTCAAATTGTAAAGGCTACTTCCTTCTAAAATTTGTATTTGAATAATACAGTTGATCTTCTATTCATGGTAGTTATATTTTATTAAGTTGCCATGACCACTGAATTAGTGAGTACTGAGCCATGGCTCCTATGGGAGATACAGGGTTAGGTTCCTGCTAGCCTCTGGTCACAACATTTTCATCAACTGATCAGTACCGAACTTTGTTTTGTGTGTTTCTGTTTAAAGTCCCCTTATTTAATAAATATTGCTGACTCATTAACATTGAACTCATGGCGGCCAGCGCAATAACTCATGCCTGAGCATATCTAACATATTTTCTCCCTAAGACACATTGCAGTCTTCTTGTGTGTAGGAACACTGGACAGTACGTCAGACCTATGCTTGGAATTTGTTTAATACAGTGAAGTCACCAACAGAAAGCACAAAACAAACACAAAAACCACCAACAAAAAGCACAAAATGCAGACAGTGTGGCACCAAATAATGTTTACAGCATGACAGCTGCAACAGCAAGGCAGAACATGACCTTGCTTGACCTCAGCTGGGATGGTGCATGTTGGGCGACTCAAATTTTTTGGCCATTCTGCACGTCTACAAATGACCACAATAGCAGATCACCGCAAAAGCACCACAAGTACTGATTTGGGGGATGCAAATAAGCACGTAGGTGAATATGCAAATATGAAATCCATGAATAATAAGGATTCACTATATATTTTATTGTTTTTTTAATTCCCCATCAGATTGAATCATAGACTGTTAGAATTGGAAGGAATGTTTAAAACCAGCTAATTCAGCCTTCTCATTTAGAAAAAAAAATGTGTTATAAATTTAAACATTACATATTAAAACACCTTATAGCCCAATTAATCATGGACAGCATTGTCTAAATTAACGTACTGGATTAATTTTTTTTTTCAGTTAAATTTTATTTCTAGCCTAAATGATGAGCTATGGTTTGAAAATTAAAAGTAATTTCATCTAAGGAAAATTCTAAATGTGAACTAATATGAATAAGAAAGTTCACAGATTAATGAAATAATCTACCTTTGGCAATAACAACCATATTGTCAAGAATGTTCATTCTAGAACACCGATCTCAGAGGTGACTCAGAAGCCTCTTGCTGTCTCCGAACAGATTACTCTGTGCCCTCCAGACTCCAAGTTGCTTTTTGACAGCTTAATTTAACAAGTCTGTCCCAAATAGCCCGTCTCTACTCCACTTACTACCCTTTAGAAGGTCAGTGAAAGGGTTTTGCAGTTGACCTTCTGGTTGACCTTCCTGGTTGGTCCTCAGCTCTTCAGCTGCCTTTTGTCCCCCAGCCAGATGCCAAACACAATAGAGGGGAGGACATGGCTGCCTTCTGATGCTGGTGGGTCTCCCAACGTGATCTTAGAATTGTCTAATGAGGAGCTGGGCCTGGCCTAGCTCTTGCTCCCAGCCTTGCAGCTCAGTAGAGCAGTATTGCCCTGGAAATCCTTTGTGCAAGGGTCCAGGTCTGCCCCTGCAACTGAGCTGGAGATGGGTTTTCAAGGTGGGGGTGAGAATACTGACCTGTGGTAGCTTCCCAGGCAGAGCAGAAGGACAAATGCAAAGTTGGAGACCTAAGGAGGTGGAGGGCTTCAGCCTGTGGCCCGCCTTCCCCTGTGTTCTCTGCCACTTGGTTACTTGAAAATATCTCTGACTCTGAATGTTATTCTGATGCCATAGATTCTAAGTGTTGTGATTTTGGCAAATTGGAAACTCTTCTACATCTTTGTGAGATATTAGGCCTGTCCTTTGTGCTTTGGAAACAACTGGAAGGAGTTGACATATGAGTGATATGGAGATGCCAGGAAGGTGATTGTGTTGATGGCTGCTGTTGGGTAGCACTAGGAGAAGGAGCTGTTCAAGAGAGGTTAGGATACAGCACATCTGGAGGACCAGAGTAATTACTTCTGAAATGTGCCTCTACATTTTGATGGCATTTCTTTGTCCTTAGAGATCTTTTCCAAGCCCAGCAGTCTTCCTGGCTTAACCATTACTCCATCTGCAGGCAGGCATTGTGGGATCCTTTAATTCTTCAGGTTCCATTAGGGTCCTAGGAAGATGGCTTTATGTACACACACAACAATTTCAGAATTTAATAGCAAAAGAACGTTTTTAGTTATCTTGGAAACTTTAAGATCTTTTAAAATCAATTTTCACGATTAAACTACAACTTAGCTGTACTCATGTGACAAAGATAATTCTTGCACGTTGCTTAACCTAAATAAATTACTCTGCAGTTGACTTGCGTTTTTTGTGTTATCTTTGAAATAACTGCAAGGTGGGTAATAACTTCTATTTTTTCATTGACTGTTTCACTTTCTGTCTTGGAGTTAAGTTAATCTTTAAAAGTGATAGCTTTTGATATTTGGCTTCCCTCCTTGGAGTTTCTATCTGAACGCAGAAAAATGTCAGCTCAGCTATCGTGAACATTTCGAAGCCTCTTTTTTTTTCTTTTCTTGAGGAAATTGAAAAGCTGCCTGATTTGGGATGTTAGGTTTTTGGTTTCAACAGCAACAGCAGAAATAAAACGTGTGCATGTAAGGAGAGCGACAACTTGCTGTCCTTGCAGTAGGTGTCCGTGGCTCCCACCTTGTCCTAGAACTTGCAGAAATGAGGAGTCCTGGTGGACTGGAAGTGAGCCGTTTCATAGTTTAGAGACTTCACGTAAAAGCTAATCATTAGAGTTAAGCCTTATTCCCCAAGGCAGACTCTGGCTCCAAGCCCCCAGGTTAGGGTAATGTCTTGGCTTTGAAAACCAAAGGCATCCAGACCATTAACTCTGCCTGCCACCCTGCAGGGAGCAGCCAGGTGGCTCCCAGGTGCACTAGATCAGACCACCCCTTTTTACCCACCAGCTGGAATCCCTTAGCATTTTTTCTCTAGGTGTTGATACTAGGGGCCAGGTGCTAGGTGGCAGGGCAAGTGAGGGGTGGGGTTTGGTTGTCTTTATTTTACCCTGTTCTGTTTTCCTAAATCCTGGGCCTTATCAATAGGATTAAGGTTTCCTTGCTAGGATTCCAGCCCTATTTCTAGAGTAGACAGATGGCTCCCCTGCCAAGTAGCAAATGGCATTTTAAACTCTGTTTTTGTTTCCCCTTGATCTTGCTATTCCACCTTGGAAAAGTGTTTGACGTTTGAGAGTGCAGGCTTTTCCCCGCGTCTTGGGGTCTTGACTGGGAGCCACATTTCACAAGCCCCAGGGGAGCATTTAGGGAGTCTGCTGGCTTCTGTGTTTCTTCATCTGCACAGTTGGAGGCCCCTACCCCCTTTGCATTCTTTGTGTGTTTGTGTGGGAGGGGCAGGCAGGGGTGAACACTTTACCTGGAGACATATGTGGGCCCTGCAGGGCCTGCAACTCTCCAGAGCTTTCTGTTGTGTTCCGCACTGCTGGGGCCTGCTGACCAGTAAACACACGCTGTAAAACTTGGGAGAAGGCAATGAAAGAAGTCAGCATCTCTAAATCAATTTATAGTGCACACGAAGCATGTTTTCAAATATTTACAGAGTCTCTGAGGGAATTACATCACTGTTTATAACTGTTCTGATTGTTTTTTATGACTCTGGCCCAATAGAGCCAAGCGATGTAATTCCTGAGAGTCTCTGAGCATAGGCTTTGAGCCTCCCAAGAGGAACGTCAGGGTGTAATGGGAAAAGCACGCCCCGCAGTAAACCCAGCTGGCGGCCGCGTGCTGGGGGATGGTGAATGTGCTGCTGGGCGGTGGGTGGGTCTGCACCACAGCGTGCCATCTTTCACCAGTTTGCAAATCACTGGGGCTAGGGGCCAGGATTCCTGAAGATGTGAGCTGTGGTGTCCCGGAAGTGGTGGGATGGCCCAGCCTGGAGGAAGGGGCAGCATTTGGGTACAGAGTTTATGTCTGCTTTGTCTGAGGAGTATGTCAGAAAATTCTGGTAGAAATGCCTTGAATGACTGGGGCTTTGTGCTTGTCCTCAGATTTCATCCCCTGTAGTAAAACTGCTCTGAACTTGTAAAGAGAACCATCATCTGTTTCGATCATGGGGCAAGAGAGGGAGGGAACTCCAGACCTTATGCAGAGCAGTTGGGAGCTGACCACCTCCATGACTGTGGTCCGTTTGCTACAGCTGGGCCAGCATAGGAGGGCAGACTCTGACCTCATGTCCCTTGAGTGGGGCTCATGAAGCATCCTGGCAAGGCAGTCTGGCACAGATGTTGAGCAGTGGACTCTGGAGCCTCCAATCCCAGCTCCGCCCTTCATTAGCTGTGTGACCTAGGGTGCAGTCCTTAATGTCCCTCAGGATGAAACGTGTTAATCCTCATAAATTCTCAGACCAGTACCAGGCGCAGGGCATGCAATCAGCTCAGGAAATGTTTGCTGATACTGGTATTCAGCATTGTGACTTCTATTTTCAAGACCAGGCTCTGAAACAAAGTAGTGGGATTTTAAAGATTTGCAGATCCCAGGCAATTGAGGAAATGAGCTGGCCAAATGCTACTGGGCTCCAAAGGGGGCTGATCCCGGGGTACATTGGCCCAAGTCTACACAACAACCCATTCTTTAGATCTCTGTAAACAAATTCCAGTACCATAAAAGTCCATGGGCAGGGGATGTAACTCAGAGTGGAGCATCTGAGAGTGAGACAGAAGGAAACTGGTGCTGTTCCCTGGGGTCCCCAGAACCCAGCAGCCACACCAGGGAGGGAGGGGACTTGGGTCCCTGCATCCTTTGCCCTCTGTGATTCAGGTGCTGAGTCCTGAGCACCCCCTACTTCCCCAGGAGCATCCCTATAGTGCAGGTGCTGCGGATCACGGCCCTGACCAACTCTTGCGCGGACCACTCAGACCAGCGGGTTGTCTACCTGGAACACGTGGTGGCACGCATCTCCATCTCTCACCCGCGCCGAGGAGACCTCCAGATCTACCTAATTTCTCCCTCGGGGACCAAGTCTCAACTTTTGGCAAAGAGGTGAGTCCGGGCTGGCCTAGGGGGCCAGGGCAGGACCTCACCACGATTTACACTTCTGTCCAGTCAGGGCTCACAGCATCCCTGCACGGCACCCTGGCACATGGGGGAGCTCGCTGGTTCTGTCAGCGCTTCTTTCCTCTTGGACACCCTCATGCGTAGACCCCACAAGCCTGAAAAATGGCTCCCTGAAACCTTGCCCATAGAAGGGTCCTGGAAGACTTTCATTTCCTGGAAGAAACGACAAAGGAGTCATTGTTCTGTTTTGTATTGTTGTTCAGTGGAGAGATTTATGGAATTCTGGCGAGGTCTTCAGTGGTGCATATCACAGGGGGCTTTGTCTCCCAAAGCCCCCACTCCCCACTTGGCTGTCCCAGGGCCACTTCACTCATTTGGGCACCTGTCTGGGGCTGTGGCCCTCATCTGGGCGATAGGGAGCCCAGGTGACTCAGAAAGGGGAGGTCTTGTGAAAGCTCTCAACAGGGCCAGGCAGGAGTTGCCCTTTACTTAACCTCTTCCACCCACCTCTGTGCATAGGATAGAGACACGGACTAGGCAGCAGTGCAGGACTGACAGGGCCATTGTCTGAAGGAGGGTCAGGGGGCTGTGCCGTGCCTCACACCTCTGCCCAGCCTCCAGTTCACCAGCTTTGTCCTCAGTGCACTGGAGTCAACCCTGAGCCCAGCCCCTGCTTTATGGGTTCCAAGAATTTGGCCACCAAGCTCAGGCCCTACCAGGCTCCACTTCCATAGCACAAGAGCAAACGGTGTCATCTCTCCTTCCTGCAAGCAGGCCCGGGCCACGTGCTGCCTCCACCTGTGGGACACCAGCACATGCAGGAGTTGGGGGGTCCAGCTGACAAGCTGTGGCTTGATGCTATTTTGCTCCCAGAGATTTTTGTTGCTGTTGTTGTTCTGTTTTGTTTTTTAATTTTTAGAGATTTCATCCAAAATTCTGCATTTCTAGCGTTTCTTGCAAAGTTGGAAGCTCTCCAACACTGGACGCTGTTGCCTGCACCTACCATGCTGGAGCTAGGCAAATGGGCGAGTGGCCCACTGCTCCTGTGCTCCCCGGGCTGGCACCAGCACCTGGTCAGTCACGGCTCTTGTGAAGTGCCCCACTGGGGCCCCCCTCCTGTGTACTCCAGACTGCACACCTGGAGCCGTCCAAGTCTGTGACTCCTGACTCAGAGGCAGAGCTGGCACAGGCACAGGTGGGGAGGCTTAGAGACTGGGATGGCAGGTGGCAGCAGGTGGGGCACAGAGACCCAGAAGGACGAGGGCTTTGGAGCCTGGAGACTGGAGCTCAGACCCCGGATCCTTCGCTTCCCAGCTGGGCTCCCAGGAGCCGGTCACTTGGCCTCTCTCTGTTCCTCCCCTCTGGAAATGTCACCTGTAAACATTAGGAATGTTACAAGAATGGAGAGTGATAATATAGATAAAAATGCTTGGCATCGTCCCTGGCACAGGCACCTGGCTGCCCTTCATGTCCTGCTCATGTCCGGCCACCTGACCTGCCGGAACCATAGGGCCCCAGCATCCCTTCCCCCACGGCTCTGTTTTCCTTTCCTTCTGACTTTCATCCTTCTGTTCCCACCCAGTATTTGAGCCCCTTGGGATGACAGAGAACAGGTCCTGCTGGGTTTGTTTGGAGCTGCCCATTTGCCACGTAGTGGTGTACCTGTGCCATCAAGCTGTTTAAAAAACTGCCCTATTGCTACTCGGCAATCATCTAAGTCTTGGGAATTTGTCTTTTTCAAAGGCAGATTTTGTGATTATATCAAGAATTTGTGTTTTAGGATTTATCCCCTTCTACTTCACATCTGACTTAATTCCACATGTGTTTTGTATTGCCATTTTTTTTCCACTAAGAACAAGTTGACATTCTTAAGGACCTCAGCTTGAAAAAGACAGTTTGTCCTCATTCTATCCCCAGTGTCTTGGGTTCAGCTTGGCGTGGTGTGTGAAAATCAGCCTTGACCTTTGCAGTTTCTTAGAAAAAAGCACAGGATGTTTCCTGTCCCCTTCTGCTCCATGCAAAAAATGTTCCCTCGATAAACTTTTTTATACATTGAGTTTCAGAGAACTTCCAAATAGGAAGTGGAGTCTTACATCACACAACACTTAGATATTTGAATTTCTGATTAACAGTAAAGAGCCCACTGTTAAATAATGTTTATTCCAAAATAGAGATAGAACGTTAGACTGTGAAGAATAAGGAAGAGAAAGAAACATGGAACTGTTTTTCCTAGGGAGAGAGACAGAGGGGACCCTGGGTGTTGGAAGGGAGAGGCTGTCTACCAGCTGCTTCCTGTTTCTCCTTGAACCAAACACGAGAACGTGGACAGAGGCCAAGGGCCCAGGGGCTTGTGGACACGGTTAGGAAAGATCTCCTCCTCCCCCATGCCTCACCCAGGGGTGCCTCCCACACCGCTGGAAAACAACCAGGCCTGTCCTCATCATCTCCCCACATGCAGCTGCTGAGACCTATTAAGCTCTGGAAATGAGAGGACAGCACTGACCACAAGTTTGAGTAGTTGCTCTTCTGGAGAGCAGTGCCCAGCACCGGTCATTCCACAAACAAGCATTTTAGAAAGGCTTCCTCTGTGAGCACCCTTTGGATTTACGTGGAAGTCATGCGGCCCAGCCTGTCTGCTTCTGTGCATCCAGGCGGTGGGGGCATGGGCTCTGTATGACCTTGTAAGCATCTGCTTGTGGTGGAAAGAACACAGGAATCAGAATGTCCCCCCTCAGGTCCCGGCACAGCTGATTGCTGGCAGTTGGACCTGCAGCAAGCCAGTAGGCCTGTAATTAGGATGGGAAGGAGGGAGCCACCGTGGACCGTGTTCCCATCTTTCATCGGGCTGTGTGAGGCCTGCCTGCCAGCCCACCTTTGAGAGTGTTAGAGAGGTCTGCTGAGATAGTGGAGGTAAAAGTCTGCTGCAGGTGTTTGAACACCATCAACATTTTACCTGCATGCTTTGCCCTCACGGCTGCTGAGGACTGGACTGCTTCTTCCGCTCTACTCAGGCCTGCTGCCCTGCATTGCACAGTCGTCCTCGGAAGCATTCCTCCCATGCAGGAGAGAGCCCTCCTGGGCCTGGTCCCTCAGCCCAGCCACCCAGTGTCAGGACCTTTGTTTCCTAACACTGCATCTCCAATTGCAGATTGCTGGATCTTTCCAATGAAGGGTTTACAAACTGGGAATTCATGACCGTCCACTGTTGGGGAGAAAAGGCTGAGGGGGAATGGACCTTGGAAGTCCAAGACATGCCATCGCAGGTCCGCAACCCGGAGAAACAAGGTCAGTGGCTCTTGGGAATTTCAGGACAACTATTGTATTTCAACCTTCTCATTAACTCTGGGCTACGGTATCTCTGGCAACGCTTTGTTTTGTTTTGTGGAGGTAAAATTCACCTAACATAAAATTCGCAGTTTTAGTCTGTTTAAAGTGTACAGTGCAGTGGTCTTTAGTACATTGACAATGTTGTTCAACCGTCACCACTATCAAATTCCAGAACATTTTCATCCCCCCAGAGGGAACCCCTGTACCCATTAAGCAATCTCTCCCTATTCCCTCCTCCCCTCCCCGCCCCTGGCAACCTCTCATCTACTTTCTGTCTCTGTGAATTTTCCTGTTGTGGACATTTCATATAAATGGAATCATGACATGTGGCCCCTTGTGTCTGTCCTCTCTCACCTAGAGTGATGTTTTCAAGCTTCACCCATGATGTGGTATGCATCAGAGCTTCATTACTTTATGGCCACACAGTATCCCATCGTGTGGATACACATTTGGTTTACCCGTTCCTCTGTTGATGGACATCTGGGTTGTTTCTAACTTTTAGCTGTAGTGCTGCTGTGAGCATTTGTGTAGAAGCTTTTGTGGGGACATATGTTTTCATTCCTTTTGGGCATATACCTAGGATTGGAATTGCTGGGTCATGTGGTGATTGCTCCACGTTTTGAGGAGCAGCCAAACTGTTTTCCACATTGCAGCATTTTGCATTCCCACCAGCAGTGTATGAGGGTGCAGTTTCTCTGCATCCTCAGTAATATTGTTATTTTCTGATTATTGTTATTATTATTATTATCGTAACTATTCTAGGGGTGTGAAGTGGTATCTGGTATGATTAATGATATTGAACATCTTTTCATGTGCTTGTTACTCATTTGTGTCTCTTCTTTGGAGAGATGTCTATTCAAGTCCTTTGTCCATTTTTATTATTTTTTAAAGTTTTTAAAATATTATTAGCATATTTATTATTACAAATCATGATTTTTCTTTATGCCCTTTACCTGACCTGTCCCTCCCCAAACCCCCTCCCTCCTTCCCCACCATCTCTAGTGTCCTTAGGTTTGTTCTCTCCTTCTGAGAGTTCAATGAATTGTTGTAGTTTTTTCTTTCTTTCTTCCTTTCCTTCCTTTCCATCTTTCCTTCCTTTCCTTCTTTCTCTCTTAGTACCGAGTTATAAGTGAGAACATGGTATTTCTCTTTCCTAGTGTGGCTTATTTCACTTAACATAATTTTCTCCAGACTCATCCATGCTGCTGCAAATGGCGGAATTCCATTCTTTTTTATGGCTGAGTAGTATTCCATTATGTATATATACCACATTTTCTTTATCCAGTTGTCTGTCAGTGGACACTTAGGTTGGTTCCGTATCTTGGCTATTGTAAATAGAGCTGCGATGAACATGGGAGTGCAGGTATCCCTTTGACATGATGATTTCCATTCCATATATATATCCTCTCTCTCTATATATATATATATAATCCCAGAAGTGGGATTGCTGAATCATACAGTAGATCTATCTGTAGTTGTTTGAGAAACCTCCATACTGTTTTCCATCATGGCTGTACTAATTTACAGTCCTACCAACAGTGTAGAAGAGTTCCCTTTTCCCCGCATCCTTGCCAGCATTTGTTACTGTCTTTTTTCGTTGTTGTTGTTATTGTCTTTTTAATAATGCTTTTACCATTTTAAAAATTGGGTTGTTTGCCTTTTTGTTGTTGAGTTGTAAGAGTACTTATGAGACACAGGCTTTGCAAATACTTTTTCCCATTCTGTGGGTTGTCTTTTTTACTTGTGTGATGATGTCCTTTGATGCACAAAAGTTTTTTATTTCGATGAAATCCAATTTATTTGTTTTTTCTTTTGTTGCTTGTGTTTTTGGTGTCACATTTAAGAAACCATTGCCTAATCTGAGGTCACAAAAAATTTACTCCTATGTTTCCTTCTAAGAGTTTTATAATTTTATCTCTTACATTTAGGTCTTTGATCCATTTTAAATTAATTTTTGCATAGGCTGTGAAGTAGGGATTCACATTCATTCTTTTGCATGAAGCTATCCAGTTGTCCCAGTACCATTTGTTGAAAAGATTATTCTTTCCCCATTGGGTGATCTTGGCACCCCTGTTGAAAATCAGCTGGGTGTACACATGGGGTTTATTTCTGGACTCTCAATTCCATCAGTTTGTATGTCCATCCGGGCGGGAGCGCCGCCGCGCTTCCCAAGCGGCGCACTATCCAGCGCGCCACCGGGCTGGCCCATGATTACTCTAGCTTTGTAGTAAATTTTGAAACCAGAAAGTGTGAGTCTTCCAACTTTATTCTTTTTCATAATTGCTTTGGCTATTCTGGGTCCTTTGCAATTCCATGTGAATTTAAGATAAGTTTGTGCATTTCTTTTAAAAAAAAAGTAGTTGGAATTGGTAGAGATTGAATCTATAGATCAATTTGTGGAATATTGCCATGAGCCATATTAAGTTTTCCAATTCATGAACATCAAATGTTTTTCCATTTATTTGGTTCTACTTCCGTCTAGCAATGTTTTTTGTGGTTTTCTTTTTTGCAAAGCCAGCTGCAGAGGAAGCTGGAATCTGACCATGTAGTGGAATCATACATTTGTCATTTTGTGACTGGCTTATTTCACTTAGCATAATATCAAGGTCCATCCATGTTGTGGCATGTGTCAGAATTTCCTCCTGTTAAAGGCTGAATAATATTCCACTGTGTATATATACACTTTGCTTATCCACTTATCTATTGATGGACACTTGGGATACTTCCACATTTTGACTATTGTGAATAATGCTGTTATAAACACAGGTGTACAAATATTCATTCGAGCCCCTGCTTTCACTTCTTTTGAGTATAAACCACCTGGTTTTTTTATAGATAAAGTTTTTTTTTTCTTTTCCTTTTTGTCTTTTTTTGTGACCAGCAACGGATCGCAACCCTCAGTGTCGCGCCCGTACCGGACCGGGACCGGCAACGGGATCGCAACCCTCGGTGTTGCCCCCGCTCCTCGCTCAGCCAGTGAGCAGCCGGTCTGTATGTGGGATCCGAACCCTCGGCGGGAGCGCTGCCGCGCTTCCCAAGCGGCGCACTGTAGCAGTGCACCACCAGGCCGGCCCAATTTTTTGTGGTTTTCACTATGCAAGACTTTCACCTCCTCGGTTAAAGTTGTTCCTAAGTATTTTATTCTTTTTGACGCTATTATAAATGGAATGGTTTTCTTAAATTGGTTTTCAGGTTGTTCATTTTTCTGGTGATTCTTGTACCAGGAATTTCACAACTCCTTTTAGTTAACCATCAGGATCAATCATTTATTTAACTGATCTTCATTGAACACCTACTGTGGGCCAGGCGGTGATCTAGGTGATGGGGGTACAGCCAGGAAAGAAAACTAGAATAAGCATTACATCTCATCCTGTTGTCACCCACAAGGGTCTATAAACCCTTCCAGAGCTCTCTCTGTTGCATTCATAGTAAAGTACTTGAACTGTGCTCTAGTCTTGCTTTACTGTGGACTGGCTTCCCCAAGGCTTGCTTTCACTGTCTCATTTCCCTCGTGCCCTTTTCTGCAAAGATGTACTGTGCTTCTTGAGTACCCTAAGGCACATAGGAACCTTCCCGGGCCCTGGTTCCTTTATGATTCTCAATGAAACATAGCCTTGGGGGATTTTTTTTTTCCTTAACCACAGAGATGAGAAGAGCATGACTTGATTTAAATAGAAAATTGACTTTAAATGATCAAGTCACTACAGTGACCTCCTACCTCCAAAAATCATTCTCTCTGGTTTTAAAATAATGAATGAGTATTGTAAGAAAATGTTACTATAACAAATTCTAAAAATACAAAAACATAAAGTTTTAAATGACCTGAAATCTACATATTTTACAAATAGAAACTCCTAAACTCTTTCTTTTAAAAGCCCCAAAGTGTATCGGCCTACCATTAAAAGTCGGGGTCAACTCCTCATAACTGCTGAATCCTCAAGCACCCTCTGCTCTGTGGGCGCCATGCAGAGTTCTCACCCAGCCACACATCCCACTTGCTTGGGGGGGCTGGCGCTCTGTGCAGGAAAGCACAGGAGGCTGGTGGCTGCAGCTCTGTAGCCAAGCAGCATAGCTCTGGGAATGGGGCACATCATTTCTCCCCGCTGGACCTGTGATCTTTACTCTGGTATCATGAGCAGGGTACAAGGAGCCCTAGCTGTGTCCCAGGGCAGCTCTGAGGGGACAGAGCCAATCCCCCATGAGGCTGTGCTGCTGCAGGCTTTCTTTCTCATGCATCATTCCTCGCTTTCCCCTTCCAATTGGGTCACACCCATGCTCTAGGTCTCCCTTGAGTCTGCATCCCCTCCAGCCACAGCCCACTTCTCTGCTCCCCTTTATGTGAAGCCAGCAGAACAGGCTGCCTGCTCTGGCTGTCTCCTGCTCACTTCCAGCCCATTCCTGACCATTTCACCAAAAGTAGGGCTTGTCAGGATCTCCACACTGTCCATGTTGCCCAAACCAGTGGTCCTGTCTCTGTCCTCACCAGATTGTTAAGGCCAGGGTCTTGGCTCTAAGAAGCTAAGCACCCTCTCCAGGGGCCACATGGTACAGTGGAGCATGGTCCTGTGGGCTCAGGAGCTGAATTACCTAGGGTGGATGCTGGCTCCAAACCTTACTAACACCTATGACCTGGGGCAAGTCACTTATCCTTTCTGGGCCTTGGTCTCCTCATCTAGAAATTGGGGCAATAATGACCAAGCCTTAGGGTTGTTGTGGGATGAAATCAATTAATACAAGCAGGGTGCTGAGAGTGGGGCCTGGTATAGGGTGACACCCAGCAACTCACCCCCTTCTGGAAGCCCTGATCTCTCGTAGCTGCAGTGATGCTGCACTTGATGGGCTCTCTCTACCTCCCAGGCTGCTCTGCTGGGTCTCCTTGGCTGATCCCTCTCCCACACATGGCCGGGGCCTGCTCCTGGGCCCTCTGTTCTGTCTTCCTCCCCTCCCAGGGATCTCAT